TTGCAGACGTGAAAGATAATTACAACTGCACTTTTCAAGTTCTGGATCAAAATATTATTTGCGGAAAATTGCCAAGACTACGAAAAGGACCTTGGTTGAAAGAGCTAAAAAACCCGAAAATTTGGATAACAGATTACGGTGAATGCCAGCAGGAAATTGAATTACTCATTGGAGCTGACATCTGTGGACAACTTTTTACTGGAAACATGTGTGAACTGGAATGTGGTTTAACGACTATAGAAACAAAATTAGGCTGGACCATTAAGGGGAGAGTTCCAAAAGTAACAGAAAATGGATCTGCAAGTCATAATTCTTCATCATAAATTCACTCCTTTCTCAGACCTGCAGCATTACAAAACTATGGGATATTGACATTTTAGGTATAAGAGATCCCATAGAGACAAAGACGAGAAAAGAGTTAGAGACAGCAGCATTGGATTATTTTCAGAAAACAGTCACAAAGAATGAAAATGGGAGTTACGAAGTTCATTTGCCATGGCTGGAAACTAAAGATTATCTCCAGCAAAATAAATCCGTTGCTGAAAGAAGATGCATTTCAACTTCAATGAAGCTCAAAGCTGAAGGCCGATACGAAGATTAAGGAATGGGAAGACTCTAAAATAATAGAATTGGTGCCAGAATCTGAAATCGGGGAAGTTTCTCACTACCTACCACACAGAGGAGTTTTTAAGGAACATTCTACAACTCGTGTCCGGCCAGTATTCGACGCCTCTTCTCATGAAAAAGGTTTTCCTTCGCTGAATGACTGTCTTGAAAAGGGACCTAATCTTTTAGAAGAAATACCACCATTGTTAATGAGATTTCGAATGGACAACATTGGTGTAGTGTCAGACATTAAAAAGGCCTTCCTACAAATTTTTGTTGTTAAAGAAGATCGAGATTTCCTTCATTTCCTCTGGTGGGAAGATTTTGAGAAGAAAAAATTTAAGATTTTTAGACACAAGAGAGTAGTTTTTGGACTCACGTGTAGTCCTTTCCTTTTGTCTGCAGTAATAAATGCAATTCTAGAAGCAAGTCCATCAGATATTAAAGACACTGCTGATAGTTTGAAAAAGTCTTTTTATGTTGACAATTGCATAACTTCAGTACCTAATCAACACAAGCTTGAGAAATTTAGTCAGGAATCGACCCAATTGGGTATAATATGAAAAAAACACAACTACTTCGATTTAGTAGGAACAACATATGACGCAATGCTAAACGAATGGAATTTAGTTGTTGTTTATTTAGTTATTGTTATTAGTAGTTGTTGTTATTTGTTTAAGTTCTTGTTCTTTATTTAGTTGCATTTAGTTTCAATAA